ACAGGGTGCCAAAATGTCGAAAACCCGGTACTCGATTACTCACTCAAGGAAATTGATATTCTTTGACGGGGACATGGGAAGAATTGCTTTCGTGACAGTGTGATTCCATCCACTGTGGAACGGAGCATGACCCAGCCAAATCTCTGTGTACATCCGGCATGTAGGTTTCTACAGATTTTATATGAATGATGTGCATTCTGATCAGGTGTGGGCCGGCTCTGAATCAATTGTGGCTCTCATCTACAAGCCTCCAGTGCTATTCCTTCGGGTTTATACTGGATATGGAATGCGAAGATAGAGCTGTGGGTGGCGCAGCTCAAGCCACCTATGGTCCTACCGTAGGCGCAGGCGTCCAGTGCCTGTTCCATGGATGCTGCAGTGAAGGCAAAGCCGGAACCGGATGCCGCACTGTGGCCAGTCACAGGACGCCTGCGTCTACAGATGGACCATGGGTGGCTTGCGCTGCACCACCCGCAGCTCCAACCACACACCTCATATCCAGTGTAAACCCGAAGGAATAAGACCGGGAGGCATGTGGATGGGAGCCACGTTTCATCAACGGAGCCGGCCCACACTCCTTCACAGGCAAACACAAGCACGCTGTATTTGGGGAATCAAACGCAAACACAAGGCGGTGGCTGGACCGTAGTCCGCTCCACACTAAGTGCATGCAACCACTCTTTGGTCCTAATACGGCCACAAGAACCGTGCACCCCGTCCCCTCCAGCAACGACCAACTGTCTCCTGGAGCCAGTATGGACGAGGTAGTGGGTAATAGACAGGTAGGCACCTTGTCAACATGCACAGCAAGCGCAACCATACCGGGGATATCAAGCAACAGCCAATCAATTGGGAGAAAGATACCAAATAAAATAAAGCGAGTAATGCATAAGGAAACAGTGACATAAATCTTAAATTAATGAGCATATGGAATAAGTTGTTTACCAACAAATCCGGGATAAGTTCCCAAGGTCGGAAAGTATATTTTACGGAAATGCCACAAACACGAAAATGTTATCGAAATTAACTACAATTGGCTTAAGCAACGTGTGCAAGTTTATAGAAGGGCGTACAGGTAGACATTTATTTGAGAAAGAAAAGCATTAGGACAAAACTAAAAACCAACCACCTGAAATAAAGAGACTTAGCATGCAAGCACGCGGTTAGTAAATCTAAAGCAGTGTACCTACAAACGTTGAGCCGGTTCTGCCTACGTTCTTTGCAGGACCAGTCGTTGTTTCGGTGTTGGGCCCCGAGTGGCCTAGCTCATGGCTCACTAGACCTGCCTGACTCAGTCACTCGCGACTGCATGTGCTACAGCACCATGCGCTCGATGTCGATGGAGTACATCCCATCAACGCCTGTCGCTTCTGCAATGGCCACCTTTTTCATGCACGAGGGATTTCTCTTGCAACTCGCCAACGGCCTTCGTGATCATATCGTGCCATGCACGCCGATCAACCGCCTTCGACTCCCATGAGCCGCAATCAAGATTAGAATGTGAGAGGCTCACTCTGATCATGTCCTGGTAACGAAGCTTCGGTTTCCCCACATGCCGCTTCCCCAAACTCACTTGACGGCAGAATAGCTGCTTCGGTATCCGCGTTGAACCCATACGCCACACATGACAGAGCCACCTAAGGTGTCGCAGCAAAAGTATGCAGTCCAATGCATACATACCATTTCGGTGCAACACTTCGGTGTCCGCAACTCTGTCGCTCCAAATGATGCGCAAAATGCGTCGCAAACACTGTTGATGGAACCGCCCGAGATATCGCACATCTCGCCGGTACATCGTCCACGTTTTGCTGCCGTATGGAAGAACGGATAGCACCATGGATTTGTACACCATCAGCTTCGTGCCAACGGTAAGCTGATTGTTGTTCCACACTCGGTCCTTAAGCTCCCCGAATGCCGCCGCTCACTGTGAAGCTGCTGGTCAGTCGACACTACACGCCCTAAGTAGCAGAAGTGGGAGGAGGTTTGCAATACGTCATCACCAATGGTGATTCGCGGCGTCATTGTAGATTGCACCTTCTTTGAAGGCTGAAAAAGGCAGACAGTTTTACTTGTGTTGATGCTGAGCCCGAATTTTGCCGCTGTCGAAGCCAGAGCACTAGTCATGTGCTGTAACTCATGCGCGCTGTGTGCAAACAACGCACAGTCGTCAGCAAACAGCAACATACGGATAGTTGTCTCACAGACTAGGGTACTCGCACCGAGTCTTGTGGTTGTGAGATCCGAATAGATGATCCACCCGCTGCTCCCAATGTTGTCCCGTAGATTCATGTTCTGGACGCCTGTTCGTGGCGACTGCTAGGTGGGAGTTGGGTTACACCCTTTTTCTAGCCAAGAGCCAGTACACACAATTCCGCGTGAGTCGGTTCACTAACTCGTGGCGCACATCCCGCCGCCTTTCGGGTGTACATTTTATCGAAGGCTTTGGTTGAGGACCCGAGTCGTTATCCTGTTATGTGTGGACACTCTGGTAGTATCCTAGTCCAACCCCCAACTATGAATCACGCTAATAACAAAAATTCCATACTGCATCGGCCCTCGCACAGTGATCTTAGAAAATGGGTCGCCTTATCTGGTGCATACAGCGGGTTGCATAAGCGAAAAGATGTTACCGCTGACACCGCCTATCTTTCTTCTTCCGCTGCACATGATCTCCTCGTCCCCGTTTCACCTAACCTATTACTTCCCTTAATCCAGGTCGTCACTACCGATACGACTGCCCAGCAACACAATCGTTTGTCTCCGCGCAAAGCACTCAACATCGGGTGCTGGAACTTGAGCACACTACTCTGCCGGAATATAAATGAGCGTCCCGAGTGACGCACTGCACTGGTCGCGATGGAACTCGCGCGCTACGGGATCGATATTGCGGCGCTCAGCGAGACCCGGTGTGGACAGATGTCATCGACCCGTATGGCATTGGATCAGCGAATGCGTGCGGTGACCGGTTGCTGTCACTGTGCCACACTTATGGCCTGAAAATCGTGAACACCCGGTTTGCATTGGGTGGGAGTGATATAACTACCACGGGGTAGTAATGCTCACCTGCTCGACAATGTCATAGTATGCCGGCATCGCACGAATGTACCGGAAGAGCAATGTGGATTCCGTTCGGGTCGCAGCACTATAGATATGGTGTTTGCGGCTCGTCAGTTGCAGGAGAAATGCCGAGAGCCACACTAGCTTTTTGTTGATTTCACCAAAGCGTTTGATACGGTGAACCGCGAGGCATTGTGGCTGGTGTTGGGTAAGTTTGGTTGCCCGCGTAAGTTTGTAAGTTTAATTGACTGTCTGCACAGTGGTATGCGAGCGAGGGTGCAGCTGAATGGAGAGACCTCGGATGACTTTGCAGTTGTCTCTGGTGTGAAGCAAAGCTGTGTCTTATCTCCTGCCCTGTTTAATATATATCTTCATGCAATGATGTCTTGTGCTTTTGATGCGGCTTGTGCTTACGATGTTCGTGTGGATCACCGTATTGATGGTGAGTTGCTGAACATCCGTCGTTTCGGTGCGAGAACTCTAGTCTGTGAGACAACTATCCGTAGGTTGCTGTTTGCTGACGACTGTGCGTTGTCTACACACAGCGCGGATGAGTTGCAGCACATGACTAGTGCTCTGGCTTCGACAGCGGCAAAATTCGGGCTCAGCATCAACACAAGCAAAACTGTCTGTCTCTTTCAACCTTCAAACAAGGTGCAATCTACAATGATGCCGCTAGTAATTGGTTTGGGAAAAGAGTGGTGGCCACCCAAAGTGACTATCTTAAACTGACTACTAAGACAGGAGAAAAGCCAACTTAATGGCGGATTCTGGATTCCATAGGATTCAACCTTTTTCAACAACCGTTTGTGTGGTATACGATCAAATGCTTTTTCTATGTCCAAAAATAGGCACTGCATAATCGGAGTTTATGGATTCTGAACATTAGTTAAGATAGTGTAGCTGGCAGATCATGCAGGAACGTCGTCTATCAAGGAAACCATATTGAGATGTGGTAAACAGGTTTAGAGAATCAAGAAATTGCATCAACATTTTCTTGACTAAGCTATCAAACAGAATGGTGATGAATCGGTTGGTAAATGGTAACCTTTTGCTTGCGACCATTTTATGATGTGGGATGATGAATGATGTTTTCCAGTGATCAGGGAAATAGCTAGTTTGCAGCGATAAAGTGAACATATTCAACAAAACTAATGGTAAGTCGGGCCCACTCATTTTAGTAGCAGTTGAAGGGATCCCGTCGGAGTCCAAGCTGAGAGAAGGTTTGATGGTTTTATTAGCTGCCGAATAATGCTGAAAGAAATTTCGACACTACTTAGACTTTTGGTTGCTACGGATTAGGGGCATTCAGTATGGGGTCAAATTCAACACTCATGAAGGCAGCAAAGAGGATGCTAAACGAGCCAAGTGGGCCACAAAAGGACTTACAATGTTCGTCTAAGAGTCCCGTGATGGAGGAAGAGCTGTCGCTGGTTCTATGACAAAGAATGGAGATGAGTTTCTTTGTTTTGCAACCCGTTCGTAGAGCATTTTCTTACTCGCTGGTACGCAGTACCCATGCTTTGCTGCCACTCAACCACCAACAATCGCATGTGGGGATTGCCCGATCCCCTATGCAGGCTCGAACCGGGTTGCAAGGCAGACGCTTCGTGCTTTCGGTCACCGGTTGACTACCCTCTGACCCCCTTAAGGGAAAGGTCATCTTATGTTTATTGAATTCGACTGGACTACGATGAGATTGTCTAGAGGCATAGGTTCAGGGCACTACGAAACTAAACTGTATAGGATTGTTTTTCGTTCGAAGTTATGTTGTGCTAAACAGCTCATCTAAACCTAGCCGTAAAGTCGATGTGCGAATTACTCAAGAAAGAAGCAAAAAGAGTAGGCAAGAGAGAAGGCATAAAAAACACCAAGTCACCAACTGCGTTGATTAACAAAAATTTTAAGTCATAATTCAAACTGCGAAATGTCACAGGACTTACGATGATGACCCAGGGTCCACGTAACCGCCGGATAATGTTAAATAGATAGAAAAGGTAGAACAGAGCTGCGAAGATGAGCGTAAAGGCAGCGACGAAGTTCACCCATCCGCCGGATGAGTGGGCGGACCAAAAGGATGTGCACGCGACACAAATAAGCACGATGCAACTGAGAATGACCTGAGTGAAAAGAAAAGCAAGGGAGCCCACGAGAAATGTTTACATTCAGACGAACCTAAAGCATAACATATGCATGAAAATGGGAGACGGTGGGGCTGAACACGATAGGGTGCTACACGTTGAGGGAATATGACGATGCGAGAAGCGCTTGTAGTGCCTGCAAAGGACAAATACCGCAGTCGAGTTCCATTAATAAGCCCCAAAAGTTGGGAGCACAAACGTCCTCCTGTAGACGATGGCAAAAACCTGCTACCGTGCAAACAAATAGTCGTTATGGTGATCAGCCAGATTCTCCTGGAAAAGTTTAGCGAATCAGAGAAAGTAAACGTGTTGACTTGTGATGAAAATACGAAGGTCTAACAGACCAAACATGTTGGTGATATAGTAGGGACAATCGAGAAATAGCACGCGATACTATGTAGAATAGTTACAATACTCTGAGGGCATGTACAAACCCCTAGAAGAAGCCATCATAGATTCACAAGCAAACGGAACAGTGCGGATGGATCTAGTAAAGAGCCCAAGACGGACCAACAATGCCATGGGAAAAGACCGTAGTGCATTCATGAAGAGAATGCAACCGAGTGACGAACGTCACGAGTGAATATAGAGAGACTTTTCAGTTGGACTATCTTCAACCACAAGTCACGGATGAAGTGCCAGATTTGACAACGTATCACTAACCGATAAACCAACAAGCATCACACGAATCGGATTTTAGGCAGTCAACAGTTCAACGGTAGCATTCCACTTTCGTGTTTAGACTTGCGATGTTTTATTCCATAAAATGTGGGTGTCGGTCACGGTTGTTGGGTCGATTATAGTGGCACACCCTATCGTACACACTAGGAGGAACGTACGACGCATGCTTCCCTCGCCTCAATTAAATCTTTCATTTTATAGTGCAGGAAAAACAATCGGAACGTTGTGCCAAATTTCTCTATCCAAAACAGCATAGAGCTGCAACAGCCTCCCCCACTCGTAGCTCACGTAACCAGTTCATTGATATGTCTCTATCCTAATTGTCAATAAGATTCTCAAGCAATTACAGTAAAAACAGATCCAGAGCACATATTTGGGCGATCAATAACTTACTTTCTTTCCAAATGACGTTGGATCATGCGCTCTGCCCTGTTCCCATCGATGACAACAAAGACTCCCATAGTACAGAGCTAATCAATCCCAAAGTGGAACAAAATGGCGCTCGGTCGGTAAAATCTATTTACACCTACGATGCGCTTGGTTGGCGACCTCAAACGTTGGACTACTGAATTAGAGAACTGAGAAACTCGGACATAGGAATGTCAAAAAAACCATGAGATGAAGCGCTAACCGAATAAATGGAGCAACGTCCGGGATTAAGAAACAGATCAAGACGAAATCAACTCGGCTGGAGTGAGACAAGCCTACAATAGTTATCCATTTAAGTCCGTAAGGAAACTGAATGGCTAATCATCGCAACCCGACCTATGATGCAGCAGAACATGTACAAATGATAAATACTTCTAGGCACAATTAATGTTAAATAGGTATCCCGTCTGTAGGAAAATACAACTATTTATTGACTGATGACAAACAAAACGCGTTGAGCAGGTGCGTCGTAGATGCCCTTAGGGAAACAGTGCAGCGAACACGCTTAAAAAGAAGAGATGGTCTACGAGCCAAATCTTGGCGACGCATCATTAGCAGATGTGAGGCTATAACAAGGTGCATATCAAATTAATCGAGGTTCACACGGAAGAGAATAGGCGCAAGGTCTTCCATATATGGTAAAATACTTGCACCACACTCACATAACGGCCAGATGGATAGCTAGATGTCACAATCAGATGCGTTCTCAAAGCAATGTGCACTTGTAAAGGTAGCAGCAATGCACCGGCGTTTCGTTGTCACGAGGCCACCACGAGTCGAGTGCTGGCCAGTGATACTGTGATGTCACCCGCCCTTACGAAAATTCAGACCGGTGACCTATGAACTAGAAGAAAGATGTGTTATACACTAATCAGATGCCGGTCTAGGTTTTGAAATTGTCTTAGCCTGTGAAACTGCCTATTGACGACAACGCTGGTAGTACCATGATGCGTCCCCAACCAAGTTGTGTACTGAACTTCCACCTTTGGGCTAGTTAACAACTGGGCCGTGTGATTTGAACGGGCCACATGAGCCTCACTTACACATGAGTGCTCATGCTTGAGGATGAATCAGCGAAACGAATCATCAACCTCCGGACTCGTGCAGCAAATGAATGTAGGTGTCACTAAATATTTTATGCAGAGAACAACGCAATAGGCCGTATTGATTCCCCACAAGGTGTCAAGACGTTTGCAGAAGTCATCGTGGTGTAATGTCGAGAAGGGAAAAGCTTTAACGGAGCGCCAGCGCTGTTCCTACAGACTACAGTGAAAGAGTTAGGTGTGGTAAGTGGGCATACGTTGTAACCTACATATAAGATATTCTCGGTAACAAAATAATCAGACCACTCTGCTGGACTACAGTTCACATTATCGAGAAATACATAATTATTTAGTTAGTTAAAATGCTTGCATTTGGAAGGATATGGTGGGTCGAATTGATGTAGATCGCCTAAGTCCAACTGCCCAACTATGGTGCACGGAGAAAGTGTGACGCACTTGGCTATCATGAGTTATATAGCCCTAATAATAATAATAATAACTAATAATAACGATCGAAAAATGAACGAAAGGGGAAAGTTAGCTCCAAAAGCAGAGAGAGAGAAGTAAATGATGTTGTATGTAGAGTCACAGAAATAAAACAAGGAGGAGAAGGTAAAAGTGCCGGTGGCTTGCGACCGTGGGCAATTGTGGTAGGGTAGGGAGGAAGAAGTTCAAAAAAAGAAGTTGCAACAGCATCAGCAAGTTTTGGATTTTAATTGTAATGGGAATCGGGAAATGGACGTCTTTGGCGAGTTAAGAGGACCCGACGACTAACAGGTAATTTAGTCGGTATACTGAATAGCTTTCCGAAGAGTCTGTTCCAAAATTCAGATCGTCAAGACTGTTAATCAACCAATCGTTCATTTTGTGTAAACAACTCAAGCAAAGGAGCAGTTGTTGGATTAGCTTGTCGGATAAAGCGGAAAAGTATTCAGCGGTTTGCAAATGCACTGGGTATCAAGATCTCACATCTTCGCATTGGAATCGATTCGAACAGGGCATTCTGCGCGTCTGCTGAGGATCACTCAAACAGAGTAAACGACACGAGTCATTAGCTACGGACAATAAAAATATGTAATATGTAGATTCCGTCAGTGCATGTCACGTTAGAGTGAAATTAGCCTGTTTATCAATCCGACAGTGTGCAATCTTTAAAAGACCCCATGTGGAATAAGAGCGCATAACGGATGGGGTCTTGTTCCCTTAAAGCGTAGCTGATGGAGTCGGAGATGAGCTTATATTAGCAAACATGGGAATGCAGTTAAAAAATAATGGAGGTGGAAAAAAGTATACGACTGTTAGCGAGTATGCATCCGAACAATTTAAAGTAACTGGAACTATAACAGAGTGACCCGTGCGGTGCCAGGTAGTTTGTCGAAAAGACGCAGTTGGCAGGTCCTAGCGTTCCTTACTCAATTGTTTCACTAGACATGAGTAAGGTAGGTGATTCCAAACAGAAAAACCAGAAGATGTAAACTTTGAGGCGACTTCGTCATTTTGTGCAAGCTCCTCAATCACAAATCATGCAGAAACCATAGACATAACGTGTTCATATGAGATAAATATCTAGCCGACATTTAGCCAATCGTCACGCCTCACACTACCACGATAGGTTAAGATTCACAGTCAACTGTTTCTGCACACAAAGCAGCGCCGCTATCGATCGATGAGGATGGTTCAAATATGTCAAATAGGTGAGTTCGTTCCTTGATTTTCCAAGATAATCTAGCTAGGCAGTGGTAACAGTACACCAGTATGTATGCTTCACTATGAACATTCGCAAGCGGATGTATGCGGGTATGGATTCTGCAACGGCACCCAACCCCATTCAGGAATGGGGAGCCGAATCAGGGAAGTAGAAGTTGCAGGCCAAGCGCCTGAACCACTATATCACGAATCCTTATCCCAACCAAACAGTACTAAGCTTTCCGTGAGTTCGTCTGATGTATTAAACATATGGTCATTCATTGCGCCTGAGTTGTGATATGGCCACTCGTGTGGACAGCAATCGGGGCGACAGGCAAGTAGATTCAATGTGAATGCGTCCATCAAGCAGCGAATGCCATGTAGATGTAGCCAAACAAAGCAGAACTAATAATGGTTGGAGAGCACGGCAAACTTACATGTCTCAATTGAGCCCTTAGCTTCTGTAAGCAGTCCGAAGTCAGGTGTAGCCAAAATGAAGCAAGTCGGAAGAAGTATTGATGAGATTCTAGACTATTCGCAAAGAGCGTTCATTGTAAAGACGAGCAAAGGCAGTTGAAGAGAGCCACGATTAGTTACCGAAAAATCCCGCCAACGGTGCTATTTACACTGCTCATCCGGTGCCACTAAGGATGTCATAGAGGAGGCAACAGAGAAGATCAAGACCCACGTAGCGCGTCAACAAACCGCTTATATCCATTACAATGGTAAGAAGAAAATTCACATGCGATGAGTAATAGTTATCGAGATCCGTTCCGGCGCTTGCCTAGCACTGTGAAAGGATGTCTGCACCTACGAATGGTTACAGTTGTAACAACTGTACGTCACATATCTGGTGTAAACCCCAGAGGACAAGACTCGCAAGTAGGCGAACAGAAGCCCCGACTGATTCCAAATGGTCCGCATACTTTCAACGACCGCAGTGAAGAAGTAAAATAGTGGATTGCATGTGTTCGGATGCGACTAAGATGATGGCTAAGCTGTAGTGCGCACCGCGCTATAAAGGCAGGCATCATCAGTACGCCGGTAAGCAGTACAAAAGCTTCGCTACAGCGTAATTACCACCGGTCGCACGCGGGCTAAAGATACTGCGAGGGTTGCCCGGTCCTTACGGAGGATCGA